AGGTATGTAAACTTGATTTTGGGTGAATTTAAGGGTTGTTTTGATTGATATTTCATGACATTTCTTAAGGTGTGATGCTGCTTCTTTTCGATCTGATTAAGGATGGTTTAGGGAAGGAAAAGACCATGAATATGAGCTTGGAATTGCATGTTTAATTAATGTTTGGATTGAGTTTTGGAAGAAAATCAAAGTTAGGGTTTATATAGACCCTATTCAGCCACTTTGAATTCTTAGGGTTAGAGATTGTTTCAATATAATTTGATGATTCCAATGAGTTTCAAAGGTGTTTGTATAGAGAAACACCAAGAAAAAGTGTTTAAAATCATTGGATCAAAAATGAAAATTTTGAAATTTTATACTACCCTATTCGACCAAGTGAAAATAAAATGGAAGAATTGTGATTTGTTAAATCTGATTGGATATTTGGATTCTACATAAAAAATTATGTAGGAATAGCCCAAGAGATTGATTGAAACAAAGAAGGAATAATTATGTCAAAAATCAAGGAAAAAGGAGTTTAATTAAGTTTAATATCAAGCATTAGTGTTTATACTTAGATTATTGGTAATTTGAATATGTTTGTGCTTAAAATGATAGGCACATTGCAAAAAATCAAAGAGGAGCACCATTGTATCAAAGAGGCTGAATTGATTAAGCAATTAAGAGGTAGCATTGAACTCATAATTTGATTGCTTTCTTGCTTGTTTAAATATGTTTTGTGGTTCGATTCATGTTGCCATAATGTGATTGAACAAATTATGTGATTATATATGGAATGTTATGTTAAATATGCCTTGGCAATGTGTATGAAAGAATGATATAATGGCTTGAATGATTGCTCTCTTTCCATGGCAATTAATTTGTACATGAAATGATGCATGGATATGTTATTCACATGATACCATAACACATTTTTACATAGCATGATTGCATGATAATTATGATTCTTTGCTATTGAGATTTCTATAAAATCTCATTCTTTTATGTCTAAATATTCATCATTTAGGAGTTGGATCAAGCAAGACAAAGGGAAGGAGGTCATTTTGAGAGAAAATTGATTGTTATGCCTCTTTAAAACAATGTTTGTGATTATTATGGATTATTGTAAATTATGTTAAATATTTGTATTAATGATTAAAAATAATATATATGTGAATATTTGATCAAGGAATCATATCTTAACATGGTCTATATGTTTGGAATGGTTATATGGATTGAAAGGAAAAGAATAACCAACAATGGTAATTTAAGAAGATAAAAGTTGACTTTTTAAGGGTGAAGTTTGACCAACAAAATTTTGTGCAATTAGTTGAGTCTTGAATTGAAATTTGGCGGGAGATCTTATTTTTTAGATTTAAAAAAAGTGGTGTTTTATCAAATTTAGAGTTTTGTACAAAAAATTATGTCCTTTCAAAGTTGAGCATAAATCTTAAAAAATTAAAAAATGATCATATGAACAGTACCACTTTGAACAAAATTAGGGATTAATTGATACATTTTGGATGCCAATGAGTATTTTCCCCTTAAATATGGCATTAAGAGTTTTAAGTAGAACTTGGAAACACTTCATTTCAATTTTTCTAGAATTAATTATGAATTTTCAAGTTTTGGCTTTTATTAAGGTTACAATGAATAGTAACCCGAATTAAAGAAATTTTAAAGTTCAAGTTTTTCGAACTTAAGGCCATAGTAAATGATTCTAGTTGAGGTAAAATGAGGTCTAAAAGTGAGGTGTGACATTTTTGGTATCAGAGCAAAGGTTCTGGACTGTTGTTTGTTTACTATGTTATTAGGTGCTATGTAATTTAGACTTGAATTGTGTTGTACATATATATATGTCCGTGGAATGTGCATTATGCAAGGTTTAAAGTGCAGGAATAGAAATGGCTTGTTACAAGAATAGCGAATAAGGGGTACAATAAACTAAAGGATACTAGGAGTGGATTTTCCATATTAGTGGTTCCTAAGATGGTTAGTACTAGAGGAGGATCTTGAATCTCCCCCTAGATACTATGATAGGCCCAAAGATAGGGCAAAGTCTAGTGTAGCCTCCAACAAAATCAGAGAGGGAGAGCTACAAGATGATACACAAAGTGCAGTGGGGCCTAGACCCAACCTAGATGAAGCAGGTCCTAGTGGAATCAAGGCTATACCTATAAATGTAGCAAGTCGAAGTAACATTAAAGTTAAAGATTTACCAATCAAGAAGAGGCCACTATTAATAAAGAAAGAATTCAAGAGTTACGATGACATATTCAAGGAATTCATAGAGCTAGGAAGGCAAATCAATAGGTCACAAAACCAGTACGCCCCAATTTATCTAGATTACTTTTACTATGTTAGATTGCTGCATAATGAGGTAGTTGAAAAAGATCCCCAAAACACAGATGATACCCTATGGGGGTAAGCATTGATAGACTCATTACCCAAGACCCGTGTGTGGCAAATCAAGGTCCAGAAGATCTGTGACAACACGGATCTCTGTACTTTTGATCAGTAACTAGATGACTTGGAGATTTTTGTTGTCTCCATAATTCATTTTCCCTTTGTGCCCTGACTGGATAACAATATATGCATATGGTTTTGACTGGATGACTATTATGCTAATTCTGCTAAACTATTGTATACAGTTAAGTAATGTATAAAGTACCTTTTGCATCTCAATAATGTTCCTGTCCTTTTTGTAGTTAAGAAGATAAAGTAAAATGGCAAGAACAAGACGTAGAGTTCATGCATGGGAAGCATCCACTAGATCCCCTACTGACCCAATTCAGACAATATTGAATAGACTAGAGGAACAACAGCGGACTATGCAAGAAATACAAGCTGTGCAAGTCCGCCAAGAACAAGATCGAGATGGTGCTATAGCTATAGCAGCAGCAACAATAGCACAACTGCAACAACTCGAACAAGGAATAGCCGGGGCAGCCCAACCAGTCCAACCCTAACCAATCCAATAACCCCAGCAACCTCAAGTAGGGATTGTTGAGCAGATACAAGCAGCTGCAGAACCTGATAGTCTGCAATAATGGATAGTATGCTTTCGTAAGCACAATCCCCCATCTTTCGAGGGAACTCTCAATGTATAGGTAGCCGAGGACTAGATAACTCGGCTTGAGAAGATTTTTAAGATCCTTGAGTACTCGTCAGGGGGCCATATATAAACTTGAGGGAGACGCAGACCAATGGTGGAGGAACACGGAGTTAGTCCTACAAGCTAATGTGACCCCCATCAACTAGGAAGTACTTAAGGAGCAATTTTTCTTAAAGTACTTTTCGTGGTCAGTGAGGGACAGAAAAGAGGCTGAGTTCCTCACCATAAAGCAAGCGGCCAATGAATCTTTTGATGAGTATTTAGCCAGGTACATCAAACTATCTCATTATTCCACGTATCTCCAACACATGAATGACGAGCATTAGTTCCCGAAAAAGATGGTTAAGGGGCTGAGACCCGAGCTAAGAGAGAAGATAGCCCCGCAACAGCTTGAAGTGTTTAACAAGGCAATAGAAGTTTTCTGTATCATAGAAAGTAGCCAAAATCATCATTATTTGGCTAGGGCAACCCATCGAGTCAAGAAACCCGCAGTAAGGTCAGGTCAGGAAGGGACTTCCTATAGTGGCAATAGGAAAAGCAAGAGGCCTAGACGAGGAGTAACAAGGGTTTGACAGTGCTTGTCGAGGAAGAGAATGTGAAATCTGTGGTAAGAACCACGGATATCGGCCATGCTTAATAGGTCAAAACTTATGCTTCAAATGCAAAAAGTTGGGACACTTTTATCAGGGAGTGCTCGCAAAATATGGATAATTCGAGGCCTCAAGCTTAAGACAAAAAGCTTAACACAACAAGAAGCAATATGGGAAAAGGAAGATGATATAAAGAATAATTATCTAGAGCTTTTTGAATAAGGTACGTTTTAAATTTTGAGAAAAAAATTTATTTAAGGGGAGAGGAAATGTCACATCTTGCAAAATTTAACCTTGATAATGGGAATAAAAAACTAAGTTAAGGGCCAATAGAAAAACTAGACTGGCTGAAGAAGTCAGGCATGATATAGAATCCAGAAATGGTCCGGACTAATATTTTGTCAGCATTAACAAGAAAGGTGTTCTATGGGGGGCGCTTGTTACGGATTGGAATATGTGCCTGTAAGCAATAGCTTGTCAAATTACAAAATACTAGCTCTATTCTTTAATATATAAAAGAGTTAGTTTGACTTTTAATTTAATCCTAAATATAAAATCTCAATCTATTTTATCTTTCATATTTATCTATTTTTTCAAAGTAATCCTTGTAGTAGTTGTATATAGTAAAGATTCCATCAAATAGTAGTTATAGCTAATACACATGATTAGCAATGATATTTTTAAAAAAAACAACACCTAATTATTACAAATAACTAACTTAACAAACTTCTTTAATCTACTCAAATTCGTCAACTATATCTTATATTAAGGATTAGAAGTAATATATATTAATGATTGGGATCAGAATAGGCCGGTCAAGATGGGTAAGGCTTATAACCATATATTTGATTTTCTAAATTTACTTCAAGTTGCAATTAGTCCTTTAAATTTATGGAATGTATTGTATTCTTTTAATTTTAACACCATTAGTCTTACTCTGTAGAAAATGCTGACTCAAGTATTAAATATTAACAAAATATGTTGTAAATTTTAAATCTTTAATATAATAATTTTTATATTTTAAAACTTAAGTATTTATTAAAAAAAAAACCAAAAAATTCTATATTGTATTGATTATCCCTTCATTCTTTCTTTCTAGGATGTTTTTGAAAATCAAGTTATTTTCTCTATCTTTGTAATTCAGTTAGTTGTAGTATCTTAGAGAAAGTACCATCCATGTTAATTAACTCCAATATACTGTATGTTTGCACTGCACATGGTTAATATTAGAGAAAATAACAAAAAAAAGCTAAAAATTACTAAATGCTAAATAAGGAATATCAACAAAAATTTGTTGTTATTTGCAAATTCAATATTGTCAACACTAAATAAAGTGTTGTTACCAAACTTGATTTGGGATTTAGTAACTTTCAGCTTCTTTTTTTGCTAGTTTTTCTTAATATTATTCATGAGACACATGCATGTATAATTTGATTTACCTAGAGCAAGATTGCATTTAAGTCATGGACATTATCATTCATTTCTCATATTCAATATACTCCTTCAGTTCTTAATATAAGACCCATTTAACTAATTTGATTAGATTAAGAAAATTAGGTAAGTTAGTTAATTATAAGAAATGTGACTCATTTTTCCTAAAATATCATAATCATCTTTCTTAATACCCTCTCTTTTTCTTCTACTTGATTATAGTCGAGGGAATATCCATAGGGGTAATTTAGAGAAAATTAATAAATATGAGAAATGGGTCTTATATTTAAGACTAAAGCCATCTCAACAATTGGGTCATATATTAAGGACCGGAGAAGCAATATCCAGGACTCATATTAATTAACTTAAACATGAAATAAAAATAAAAGTTAATTTAATGAATAAAAGGAGTACGTCTGATAAAAGAATGTGTCCATAAAAGCATAATAATATGGAAAGAGAGTATAGTAGAAGTGGATGACATAGAATTGTAATTGTAATTAATGTATAAAATTTGTATGAAGCTATACTATATTTATAAATCATAATATAATTTATGAATGGTACAATTAATTTTAAAATCCATGCAGCTTGCATTGCATGATTCTCTTGTACTTAATACAAAATATAATTTCACCTTCTATATAAACAAAGGGAAAATATTAACATTGGCAAAAGAAAAGGGGAAAATATTAAACTCCCATTTTGGCTCTAACTGAGGTTATGCAAATTCAGTGAACGACATGATTTCCATTTCAAAGTTGTTTTTCCGGTTTTCCCCCAAATTTTACTTGTTTGATTTTTAAATATTTGGAAAAAAAATTTCCAACCTTTAGTTACTGGAAATATGACTAATGACGATGGCCCCCATCACTAGAAATTTGCGGTGATGACACCGCCACTGTTTTTTGTAAATGTGAAAATAAGTCAAGTTAGACTTTATTCTTTACAGGCAGTTTGGTGACAAGCTGGCCTGTCATATGTTTTTTCTTTTTTTTAAATCTAAGCCTGACTTGATTTGAACTTGTTAAAAAAATTTGTAATTTTAAAATTTTTAAAATATACATTTTTGACCAACACATGGTTAAAAATACATGAACTAATACAAAAGAAAAATATACATATAATAATAATTTTGTAATATTGTTTTTAATTTAAAATTTAATGTCATAAGTATTATTTTAAAGGGAAAAAGACAGAAAAATGTTAACTTAACTTCAGAATAACCAGAACGTCCACTGAATTTGCAAAATGCCATTTAGGTCACATGAGACCAAATTGGTATTATCATGTCAAATAAAAAGACCAAATTGCCCTTCCTTTTAAATATTGTTTTTAAACTATCACAGCCCCACTAGCCAACCAGTTGTCGAAGCTCCGGCAATGGCAGTCGTCGGAGCTCTGGTGACCGACCGACAATCGGTCACTGGAGCTCCGTCGGTCAAAATTTTTTTTTTGAAAATTTTTACAACTTTAGTATAATGGTTAACAACTTTTGTGGCGCTATTAAAAACTTCAGTATAATAGTTAACAATAGGTTTTCTAGAAAATTCAACAAGCTCTGGCGGCCAGAAATAAACTTTTTGAAAATTTTTACAACTTCAGTATAACAGTTAACAACTTTTGTAATGCTATTAACAACTTCAGTATAGCAATTAATAACAAGTTTTTGGAAAAATTCAATAATTGGACGCCAGAGCTCCAGTGGCCGGAAACAATTTTCTTGAAAATTTTCACAATTTCAGTATAACGGTTAACAATTTTTGTAATGCTATTAACAACTTCAGTATAGCAGTTAACAATAGGTTTTCTGGGAAATTCAACAAGTTCCGGTGGCCAGAAATAATTTTTTTGAAAATTTTTACAACTTCAATATAACGGTCAACAACTTTTGTACTTTAGTATAGCGGTTAACAATAGGTTTTTTGAGAAATTCAGCAATTGGTCTCCAGAGCTCCGGCATTTTTTTGAAAATTTTTATAATTTTAGTATAACAGTTAACAACTTTTGTAATGCTATTAACAACTTCAGTATAGCGATTAACGACAGGTTTTTGGAGAAATTCAACAATTGGTTGCTAGACCTTCGAAGGCCGAAAACAATTTTTTTGAAAATTTTTACAATTTCAGTATAGCGGTTAACAACTTTTATAACTCTATTAACAACTTTAGTATAGCGGTTAACAACAAGTTTTTGGGAAAATTCAACAATTGGTCGTCGGAGCTCCGGTGGCCAGAAACAATTTTTTTGAAAATTTTTACAACTTCAGTATAACGGTTAACAACTTTTGTAACACTATTAATAACTTCAATATAGCGGTTAACAACAGGTTTTTCGAAAAATTCAACAATTGGTCGCCAGAGCTCCGGTGACTGGAAACAATTTTTTTTGAAAATTTTTATAACTTCAGTATAATAGTTAACAATTTTTGTAATGTTATTGACAACTTCAATATAGTAGTTAACAATAAGTTTTTCAAAAAATTTAAAAAGTAGTATTTTTACAATTTCAATAATGTCGTTAACAAATTCTGTAACTCTATCAACAACTTTAGTATAGCGTTTAACAACAGGTTTTCTTAAAAATTCGAAAACAAATGATATTTTTATAACTTTAACAACTACTTTTTTTGAAAATTTTTACAATTTCAGTATAATGGTCAACAACTTTTGTATCTCTATTAACAACTTTGACATAACAGTTAACAACAAGTTTTTGAGTTTGTTAACGGCATTACTGAAGTTGTAAAAATGTTATTTTTTGAATTTTTTGAAAAATCTGTTGTTAACTGCTATACTGAAATTGTTAATAACATTATAAAAATTGTTAACTGTTATACTGAAGTTGTAAACATTTTCAAAAAAATTATTTCCACCCACCGGAACTTGTTGAATTTTCCAGAAAACCTGTTTTTAACTGCTATACTGAAGTTGTTAATAGCATTACAAAAGTTGTTAACCGTTATACCGAAGTTGTAAAAATTTTCAAGAAAATTGTTTCTGACCTCCGGAGCTCCGGCATCCAATTATTGAATTTTCCCAAAAACCTATTGGTAACCGCTATACTGAAGTTGTTAGTAGCATTACAAAAGTTGTTAACTGTTATACTGAAGTGTTCAAATTTTCAAAAAAATTATTTCCAACTGCCGGAGCTTGTTGAATTTTTCAGAAAACCTGTTGTTAATTGTTATACTGAAATTATTAATAGCGTCACAAAAATTGTTAACCGTTATACTGAAACTGTAAAAAAATTTTAAAAAAAATTTCTAACTGACGGAGCTCCGGTGACCAATTATCGGCCGGTCACCGGAGCTTCGGTGACTGCCGTTGCTGGAGCTCCGGTGACTGGCCGACCAATGGGGCTGTAATACTTTAAAAACAATATTTAAAAGGAAGGGTAATTTGGTCTTTTCATTTGACATGATAATGCCAATTTGGTCTCATGTGACCAAAATGGCATTTTGCAAATTCAGCGCATGTTCTGGTCATTCTGAAGTTAAGTTAGCAGTTTTCTGTCTTTTTCCCTATTTTAAATCTTAATTTTAATTAATTTTATTCAAAAAAAGTCATAATTATAAGTTAAAATTTGAAATAAGACTATATATAAATATAAAATTAAAATTAAATTAAGACACGTAAACAGGTTAGGCTAAACCTAATAGGCTTAATAAGTTTCTTAAGAAAAATTAGGCCTTACCTATTAAGCTAAACAAGTTTTCAAAAAGATCTATGCCTATTTCTATTTTGAAACAGATTAAGCCAAGTCAGGCCAAATGTAGGCCAGGTCATAAGTGCTGACAGATTGCTAGCCTATTTTCACTCCTGGTGGCTTGCCACAAGGACAATGATAGCATGCAAGAAAGAGGGCATTTTCTTTGTTTTTCTTCCAAAACTGCTTTTGGCCATTTTGGTCATGACACTTTTTGTTTTGCTTTGTTTTTTTTTTTTGGTTCAATAAAGAACCTTGATCCTACAAAAATCAGTTTTTGAAAAAAAGATTAAGGGTGAGACACGAAAATACCTCAAAATTTGTAAATCTCAGTTCATGATTTCAAAATGGTTTAATCACTATGAAAAACGAAAGAAGTAAAATGATAACAACACTTTTAATGAGTAACAATTTAAACTTACTAAATGACAATAGCAACTAACTGGCTACAATTGATTCTACAAAAATTTCTTGATCGATATCAATAACACTTTTAACAAATCAGGACTTTAATTTCTCATATAAAAAAATAACTAAAGCAATAACAACTACCAAATAGAGGTTGAATCTAACAAAAAGTGTTAATTTCTTATAACGTAGCGAACAAAGGTTTGAAACCCTTTAGGAGAGATGTCGACTCAGTCACCAAAAAAAAAAATAATAATAATAACAACAACTAATTTCAATGAGAGTGATTTGGTTATTTCACCCAAAAAAATTTTTTTTATTATAATTCCAAAATTTTCCTTCAAGTCATTTTAAAGAACCATTTTAAGATTCCTATATTTCGATGGTCGTCCTATGTCTTTCTCTCAAAATTGGTCTCTAAACTGAAATCCTCCCTCTTCTTCTTAATCCCTAAACAATGTGATGCATGCCCTACCCATCATCAACAATATATCTTTACATATGTAGATCACTATCTATGCTAATCAATTACAATATAAATCTAATCCATAATTAGCCCTAACTTTTTTATGTTGTTATCTGATTATGTCAAATTCAAGCACTGTTGGGCATATTTAACCCTATTTATTAATCATCACAATTCAACTCACCTAAAACTTTGAGCAATGTTTAGGGAGGAAAAAAGAACTCTGGGCAGTGCACCAAATCATATATACTTAGAAAATTATTGATAAAATTTATTTCATCTTTTTAACTACTTTTTTTTAAATTTTACTTATATATAAAATAAACTTGAATGGTACATAGTACTAAATAATAATTCAAGATTTATATTATTATTCATATTTATAAGGAGAAATTGCAAAAAAAGACTTTAGAATTGCAAAAACGCAGATAGGGATCCTTGACAACTTCACTTTGGGTTTTGACAACTCCAGAGCATATTATTCTTGTCAAAACTTAAAATGAAGTTATCAAAGGTCCCTATCTGTATTTTTATAATTCTAAGTTCTCTTTTTACAATTTTTCCTATTTATAAATTAGAAAGAATAAAGATGAGGATTCATTATGATTTCAGGTGAACGAAGAATATCTGAAATGAGATCGTGCAAGTGATGTACCTTCCCTTTACAGGGTTTGACACGTGTCTCCTATTAATGCCTTTTAAGGCTGTTCCACTAAAAACATTCCCTCTCTCTTCTCTCTCTCCTCGCCTCACCCAACTGCTATAAAATAGTGCCCTTCTCTGCTTCCCTGATCAATTCCTTCTATTTTGCTCACCACAGCACTGAGCTTGCTGTTATCAATGGAGTCTCTCAAGAATCAGATGCTTCCTGTCTCTCATAAACCCTCTCGTATGACCACCAGAGGACTCTACGCTGCTCTCTCTTACATGGCCTCTGCCGGTTGGTTTCTTCTCTTCCTCCTCCTCCGCCACCACGACCACCACCATCTTCTTTTTCACCTTTTTCGTCGCCGTCGTTTTGCTCTTCCTTGGCTTTTTCTTTTTGTTTCGAGTTATCTCTTGTCATTGTCTTATCATTTACGCTGTGAGCTTGAGCTTGTGCTGTTTGTTGGGTTTAATTGTGTGCTTTGGTTTAATACTCCTTCCTGTTTGTTTCCTTCTTGAAATTGGTTTATAATGTGGGTATTTGATTTTTCGCGCGGCGGGAAATGAATACGATTGGGGAATTCGAATTCAAGATATTTCTGCTTTGGTTTCAGTACTGATGATAAATTGAGAATTATTATTAATTATGCGTGTGATTTGTTCTACTCTAAAGAAACTGAAAAGGGAAGAGAATTGTCTGCGAGGAGGTAGCTTTAGTTTATTCAGAGAAAACCCATTAATTTCGACTGTGATAGGCTTGCTTGTTATGTTCAATGTTTTCTTAATGCATGGGTTTGCACAGAGTAGTGTGAAGTTTTAAGTTACTTTAAAATCAAAATATAATGTGAAAACATTGAGAATTTCGATAAATGAGTAGCTTTAAGGAGGCCACTTTTGCCACTTATGATTACAATAAACAGTGTCCAGGTTGTCTGCTTTAATCGTCTGAGTACCAAAGTCAGTATCCCACCCGTATAGTTATAGGTGGTCCACTAACTGCAAGTGTCGACTTCACGAATTCAAAACATGGGCACCATCAACTATACTGAAAAGTGGTTCAATTGGAGAGTTCTCAATCAGAACCTACCTCAATTATGATTTTCATGGTTGTCGTCTTCTTGAGGTTATATCTAAGGGATACCTACAATTCTGCTTTGCCTCATGGTTGAATCCTGACCCTATAGGATTTTATATCACATTCTCTGCTGTATATAGCTTGGACCACTAAATAGTGGTTCCCATTCGATCATAAAGTCAACAAAGTAAAAAAAGAAATGAAGAAGGACGTGCTTGTAATTCCCTTTTCAAGCATGCAATAAACATGTAAAGAACAAGGGGTGATTTAAATTATATGGCAGCCGAGATTCTTAAAAATCATCATAGTCAGGACATATCTGTTTCTTGTTCTATACTCTATATATTCAATTTCCATTCACCATGGTCAGGATACATGTTGCCGTATTCTTGAGATTGAAACTACAAGTAACCCTAACAAGTTCATTTTCCATGATAAGACTATAAGATCTTAAATTATTGGATTAAATGCCAGGTTTTAATGAGGAAAAGTTACTTGCCTTTTCTGGTCACTTACTTCCATTAAACTCTGCACTGATGGTCTTCACTCCACAGTGTTGTATCTTTCTTTCTGGGGTCATTGGCTATTTTATATGATGCAATACTCGAAAACTATTTGTCATTATTTTTTTTAATTTTGCTCTGTGTGAATTTTTTGTCTATAGTTTAAAATATTTCAATGGATGAGTAAGCATTGTAGACACATGCTCATTACATCTATTCTCATGATGAAATCTGTTGATTATGCAGTTCTGTTGGTCATGTTCAACAAAGCGGCCCTCTCTTCTTACAGTTTTCCAAGTGCCACTGTCATCACGCTTTTGCAGGTACATTTTTCGAAGATGGTTTGGGGTTCAATTTTGTTCGATTGCTTCTCTAATTGCCATTCCGTAGCTCTTAACTTATCATTTTGGATTTTATTGTGATTAAATTCTATCCATCTGCTAGTATCATTCTCTCTGCCTTCCTTCTTGTCTCTGACTATTATAATTATTTATTGTCAATGATTCATTTTCCTCTCATTGACACTGAATTTGTGTCTTGTGTTTGCTTCAGTTGGTTTGCTCATGTTTGATTCTCTATGTGATGAGATACTGGAAGTTAATTTCTTTCACAGAAAGTGAGCTACAGAGCAGTTCTAACAACCCAGCAACTATTGTGTCCTTAAAGACATTAGCTCAAACACTTCCTCTTGGGCTGACATATTTGCTATACATGGTTAGCATTTATAACGTTTTCAGATGTTCTTGGATGACAGGAAAAAATAACCAATTTCTCTAACCTTATCTCCCTTTATTTTGAAAGATAGTGACCATGGAATCTGTGCGTGGCATAAATGTTCCAATGTACACCACGCTGAGGCGAACTACTGTGGCCTTTACAATGATTGTGGAGTATTTTCTTACTGGGCAGACACATTCACGTTTTGTTATTTGCAGGTATAGCGAGCACATTCCGTTTCATTTAATATTCGTACATGAACCGATGATGATTATTACAGAATGAGAAGATTGTAATTTGCATGGTCCTTTTGATTTATTTATGCTTCCATTTGTGAAGTTTGAGTTTCTTAATGAACATGCTACAGTATAGGATCACACTACAAATACACACAACCAACCAATGAATAATTCAGAGCTAGAAATTGTTATAAGCAGAGCTTTATATGGCCATAACTTATCATGGAATGAAATTAATTACAATAAGGGTTGTCAATGGTTGGAGTCATGGGTTTATTATTTTAAAAACATTCCACAAGCATGATGGAATCTTCAGAACCTTTTTATGTTGGTTTTTTGAATTATTACAAATGAGAAAGCCATAATATCATTACCTACTCATCTTTTATATCTTTATGATAGATTTTTTCTTATTATGCCTCAGTAGGTGGTCTCTAGCAAACATCTGTCAAATTTTAATAATGTAAATTTGCAAATGAAGCTTTTTTGGTATAACCAACTCGCTGCTTGACAAATCCAAATAATTTACCAGTGTAGGGGTAATTATAGCCGGTGCATTCATCGCTGGAGCTCGGGACTTGGCATTTGATGCTTATTCCTATTCAATTGTTTTCCTAGCAAACATATGTACAGCAGTATACCTTTCTTCTATTGCTCGTATTGGTAAGAGGTTCAATTTTTCTGTTTCTCTGGCCCATTAATTGGTTGAATCTAAGTACTAAACTACCATGTATTAACCACTTTTATAGGTAAATCCAGTGGCCTTAATACCTTCGGTCTTATGTGGTGTAATGGTAAGATTAAGTGTCTTCTTTCTTTGATATGATAAGATTATGTCTCTTCAGGTTTGTTGAAACTTTGATTTCATCACTTGTCTCAAGTCGTTATTTTATTTTTAGGCATAATTTGTGGACCAATCTTATTGATCTGGTCATCAATCAGAGGAGATTTAACAAAAACATTGAACTTCCCTTATTTTTATGACCATGGATTTCAGGTACTTCTTGTATCTTGCGCCTAAATTTCATGGCTAGTTAGCAGCATTCATTAATTACATATTTGACACTGTCATTATGAGCATTTATTAACAATATCTATAAGTTTTTAGGTAGCATACAAATTTGGCTGGAAATGTGTGGTGCATCCTTCTATGTAGTTTTCTGCTAACCTTTCATTGATAGTTGACCCTTTTATCCCTGAACAAATACACATATCATATTTGACCATTTCAGTAATGCAGAAGTGAAGCAGACTACGTAGAATTCTTTTCTAATTCTGAATAAGTGAATATAAGAGCTTTCTTATGGATGGAACTTTCTTTATTTCATGATCATTCCATCTAAAACCCCTCTAATAACTTTTCTCATAAAATCACCTCATGAGATTGAGAAAAAACTATCTGCTTTATATATGATATTCAGAAGCTTATCTTATACCATAATGTGTTTTCTGATATTTGGTTCTTACATGTTGAGATCAGCAAATATATGTCTGTGAAAGCACTTCCTGTTATTCATATATCCGCTAATTGATAGTTATGAGAAAGAGTTTAATTTGTTTTTTTTTTTTAATTTGGATTTTTTTTCTTTCTTTTGCAGGCTGTGATGCTTCTTTCTTGTTTATTGGCTTTCTTAATAAACTACTTTGTATTTTTAAACACAACTCTCAATTCAGCACTTACTCAGACAATTTGTGGCAATTTGAAGGTCAGTATAATGCCTTTCTCTTTTTTATCCGCCAAGTTTATAATCTATATAAATATAACATAAAAACTTTAACAAACCACGCTCTTTTTAAGCTACAAGTGGTACGACTCATTTTTCAAACCTATAGAATCACCATATCCTCACCAGTTTCTTTAGATATTTTGAGTTGTGATAGTTTCTTTGGCATTTTATCTGGTTCTCTATCTGTGTACCCTTTTGTCTCTAGTTCTGCTGTTTGCAATCAATTTTATAGATGTAGAGAATCCGGATTGCTATAATATTGATATACAAACCATTATAGTTCATGACATGTAGCATCAATTTTGTTCTCTGTTGTTTAGCTGGCCTCAGCACTTGGTATCAATAAGCTTTGGCCTCTCTTAATTTTACTTGAAGATTGAAAGGCTCTTGTTTAAAATCAAGCCAAAGCTGAATTAATTCCCCAATATTTTTTTTAAAAAAAAAAACCTCTTGTGAATAAGTACTTCTAATCTAATATTGGATCGAAATTACTAGCCTTTAGTTTGTAATCTAAATTCTCTGAATGCATAAATGTGAATACATGAGATAACCCCCCCCCCCCCCCAAAAACACACACACACACAGATGGAAGATGATAGATTCGTGTGTATGAAGTATACTACATGCAACACCTTAACTCATTTTGTTTATCAAATTTATAATTTTTTTCCAACCTCTCTTCATAGATTCTCATGTTAAAGGATTTTTTCACGAGGGGAATAATTTTCAGTATAAATAACCAGCACATAATTTATGTATTTTTTTTTCAATTTATGGGCACAATTTTACATTAGCGTAAAAGGGATGGTGGGTTTCCTTGTATATATAACTGTTTCCTGATTATAATTTTTAGGATCTTTTTACAATTGGGTTTGGCTGGCTCATATTTGGAGGACTTCCATTTGATTTGGTAAACATGAGAATTATTTGATATTGCTTCTTTTTAATTATTATCGTTTATTTATTATTAATACCATCATTATCGTTTATTTATTAATTTTTTCCCTTGTGTTTTTGCAGTTAAATGTTGTTGGCCAATCACTTGGATTCCTTGGATCCATTTTGTACGCCTGTTGTAAACTCAAAGGAATATGAAGACAACGTTCCAGGCTGCTGCCTCTGTTACACACAGAATATTAAAAGAATTAAGGAAGAAAATAAAATATTGTTCATTGAGCTGATAAAATAAATGGCAGATATTATATTATGAAGCGGCAAAAGAAATAAAATAAATGGCGTTTAATTGTGAGAAAAAATTATTTGGCATGTTCGAAGTTTACTTATTTTATATATTTAAAATGTTATTTTTTTGGCCAGCATATTTAAAATGTTATTAAAGATATTCCAACTTGTAAGATTTTTATTTTTTTAAAAAAAGTTTCACTACGCAAATAAGTTATCCTATCTCAACAAATCATAAATAATTAATCATGAATGAAATTATTTTCTTTGCACAATCTCGTAAATTAACACTTCAATAATTATTTTTCTTGAGTTTCGAAGCTGAAACCTTCGCAAACCTTAATTTCGACTGGCAGGACGAAATGAAATTAAAAATAAATAAATAAAAATAGTCTGTCGATACAAATATATTTATATAAAATTATTTTCAAATAATAATAGAATTTTAAAAATATATATTAAAGAAACTAAAATGGCATGTATTTTTCAGAGTAAAATACTTTAGCCTTCTTTGCATTTTGTCCTAATTACACGGATATCCTCTATATCTTGAAAACATACACTTAAGTCTAAACTGTTAACTTCATTAAGAATATTCTAAAAAGATTCTTTTTAAGTTAAAATTTATACGAAAGTACTTTTTACTTACTAACTTATCCTTCATAATGCTAAATCCCCAAATTTTAGCTAAAACTATTTTGAAGAATTTAAGATTTTTATTCTTTTACCTTAATTTTATTTTTACAAATACTTATTTTTTTAATGTTTTTATTAGGATAGAAAATTAAGTAACTTAGTTAATGTAACCACAAAAAAATTGAATAAAAAATTGATTAATTCTTTAAATAAATATACAATTGATCAAATGAGCTATAAATTTTTGCAACAAAATTCTTGTTTAAAAAATGTTTTATATAATGTTCCAAACTCACATAATTTATATTATATGATAAAAAAATATGCATTTGAAATATTTTCTAGCTATATAAAAGAAACCTAATTAAATAAGTCTCAATATGGCATGAAGAATTAAAATTGTATAATTTTATAATACAATTAAAATTAATAAATTTTATAACATATTAAAAAGTTTGAAAATGCATGTATTGTAATTATTTTTCTGGCATCAAAACTTTTTTTTTTTATAGATATAAATGTTTATGTTAGGAAGGGATACTTTGATCAAAATAAAAATTTAAAAGTTAAATTTAATGGTCAATTAATGGTTGAATAGATAGAAATGAAATCTCAAACATATAAGAGAGGTTTGTGTAATATAAATTTTAATTTTAGAAGTTTATGTACATTTTCAAAATAGAAGAGAGGTTTTTGTAATGGGAAAAAGACAAAAAAATGACAAATTAACTTGAGAATGACCAGAACATCTGCTGAATTTGTAAAATGCCATTTTGGTCACATGAGACCAAATTGGCATTATCATATCAAATAAAAAAACTAAATTGCTCTTTATTTTATTTATTATTTTTAAAATACCAAAGTCTCTACTGGCCAGATGGTCACCGAAGCTCCGGCTGTAGCAGTCACCAGAGCTCCGGCGACTAGCCAATAATTGGTCACCTGAACTCCGGCAGTTAGAAACAATTTTTTTTGAAAATTTTTACAATTTCAATATAATGGTTAACTACTTTTGTAATGCTATTAACAACTTCAGTATAACAATTAACAACAGGTTTTTTGAAAAATTCAACAAGCTCTACCAACCGGAAACAATTTTTTAAAAATTTTTACAACTTAGTATAGCTATTAACAACAGGTTTTTTGGAAAATTCAACGAGCTCCGCCAGCTGAAAACAAATTTTTTGAAAATTTTTGCAACTTTAGTATAACAATTAATAACTTTTATAACGCTATTAACAATTTCAGTATATCAGTTACCAACAGGTTTTTCAGAAAATTCAAAAATTGGTTGACAGTGGTTGGAAACATTTTTTTTTTGAAAAATTTTACAACTTTAGTATAATAGTTAATAACTTTATAACGCTATTAACAATTTCAGTATATCAGTTAACAACATATTTTGAGTTTGTTAACGGTATTACTGAAGTTGAAAAAATGTTACTTTTTGAATTTTCTGAAAAATCTGTTATTAACTACTATATCGAAGTTGTTAATAGAGTTACAAAAGTTGTTAACCGTTATACTGAAGTTGTAAAAATTTTTTTCAAAAAACAGTTGTTATTAAAGTTATAAAAAAAGTGCCATTTTTTTGAATTTTTAAAAAAACCTATTGTTAAATGCTATATCAAAGTTGTTAATAGAGTTACAGAACTTGTTAACGACATTACTGAAGTTGTAAAAATATTACTTTTTGAATTTTTTGGAAAACTTGTTGTTAGCTGCTATACTGAAGTTGTTGATAACATTACAAAAGTTGTTAACCGTTATACTAAAGTTGTAAAAGTTTTCAAAACAATTGTTTCTTTTTAAATTTCATGAAAAACCTGTTGTTAACTACTGTACTGAAATTGTTAATAGCGTTACAAAAGTTGTTAACCGTTATATTGAAATTGTAAAAATTTTCAAAAAAATTGTTTCTGGCGCCAGAGCTCCAACGACTAATTGTTGAATTTCTTGAAAAACCTGTTGTTAACCGCTATACTGAAATTGTTAATAGTGTTACAAAAGTTGTTAAACGTTATACTAAAGTTGTAAAAAAATTTAAAAAAATTGTTTCTGGCCGCCGGAGCTTGTTGAATTTTTCAGAAAACCTGTTGTTAATTGTTATACTGAAGTTGTTAATAGCATTACAAAAGTAGTTAACCATTATACTGAAGTTATAAAAATTTTCAAAAAATTTGTTTATGACCGCCGGAGCTCGAGTGACCAATTATCGACCGATCGCTGGAGCTCCGATGACTGCCACCGCCAGAGCTCCGGCGATCGGCCGGTCAGTGGGGGCTTTGGTATTTTAAAAACAATAAATAAAATGAAAGGCAATTTGGTTTTTTCATTTGACATGATAATGCCAATTTGGTCTCATGTGACCAAAATGGCATTTTGCAAATTCAGCGGACGTTCTGGTCATTCCCAAGTTAATTTGTCATTTTTTTGTCTTTTTCCCTTTTTAATTTAGGTTAAATAGAGAGCTGCAAATATATTTTATTCTATTTTTTAATGACTTGTGAATCGTGAGACTCCTAATGTGACCGGACGTGTTATATTAAACTTAATACCCTTGAGATTTTTTTAAATGACCAACGGTATGAGAATAAATAAATAGAATACAAAAAATATTTTTAAAAGATGTGTCCTGTTTAGGTTCCAATAATTCTTGAATTTAATAAGATAATATTGAAAATTAGATACTGTATAAAAATACGAAAAAATAGTGAGGAGTAAAGAAATTAAATTTGCATAAAAGATAACTTTTTCCAATAACAGGACAATAGGTGAACGCAAATCAATTGTTGTGTGAAATAGCACTAATCTTATGCAAAGCAATGAACCCCACCAAACAAAATGATAATGAAAAACTGGTCATTCTTCACTTCCTATTTTATATTAACCACTTTTATAGGCAAATCCAGCAGCCTTAATACCTTCGGTCTTATGTGGCGTAATGGTAAGATTAAGTGTCTTCTTTCTTTAATACGATAAGATTATGTCTCTTAGGTTTTGTTGAAACTTCGATTTCATCGCTTGTCTTAAGTCGTTATTTTATTTTTAGGCATAATTTGTGGACCAATCTTATTGATCTGGTCATCAATCAGAGGAGATTTAACAAAAACATTGAACTTCCTTATTTGTATGACCATGGATTTCAGGTACTTCTTGTATCTTGCGCCTAAATGTTATGGCTAGTTAGCAGCATTCATTAATTACATGTTTGAAACTGTCATTATGAGCATTTGTTAACAATATCTATAAGTTTTTAGGTAATCATACAAATTTGGAAAACTATGGTGCATCCTTCTGTATGCAGTTTTCTGCTAAGAATAACAGAACATAGGATTCTTGTCTTATTCCGAATAAGTGAATAAAAGAACTTTACTATGGATGGCACTTTATTTAAGTTTTCATGATCATTCCATCTAATACCACTCTAATAACTTTTCTCATAAAATCATCTCATGAGACTGAGAAAGAACTATCTGCTTTATATGACATCCAGAAGTTTATCTTATACCATAATGTGTTTTCTGATATTTTTTTTTTGAGTAGAGTTGTGTTTTCTGATATTTAGTTTTTACATGTTGAGATCAGCAAATATATGTCTGTGCAGGCACTTCCTGTTATTTATGTATGTGCTAATTGATAGTTATGAGAAAGAGTTTAATTTGTATTCTTTTTTAATTGGGACCCCCCCTTTTTCTGCAGGCTGTGATGCTTCTTTCTTGTTTATTGGCTTTCTTAATAAACTACTTTGTATTTTTAAACACAATTCTCAATTCAGCACTTACTCAGACAATTTGTGGCAATTTGAAGCTCAGTATAATGCCTTACTCTATTTTATCCATCAAGTTTATAATCTATATAAATATAATAACAAAACTTTAACAAACCACGTTCTTTTTAAGTTATATATATGCATACTATGACTTATTTTTCAAATTCTGTATAATCATTAGATCCTCACTAGTTTCTTTAAATATTTTTGAGTTGTGATAGTTTCTTTAGTATTTTATTTGGTTATCTACCTATTTACCCTTTTTGTCTATAGTTCTCTTTTTTGCACTCGATCTTATAAACAATGTAGAGAATCCGGATTGCTATATATTGATGTACAAACCATTAGTTTATGACATGCAGCATCAAGTTTGTTCTCTATTGTTTAGGTGGCCTCGGCAATTTTGGTATCGATAAACTTTGGCCCCACTTACTAAATTTTATTTGAAGATTGAAAGACTCTTGTTCAAAATCAAGCCAAAGCTGAATTAAATCCCCAGTATTTAAAAAAAGAAAACGCTTGTGAATAAGTACTTCTAATCTTATATTCGATATGTAATCTGAATTCTCTAATGGCCTGTTTGGTTCACTGAATAATAGGGAATGTGATGTAATGTAATAGGTAAGAATGAAATGTAATGTAATAGTGTG